CCTTTATTATTTGAACATTTGTTTAATATAACCAATTTATGTACATTTATTTTGCTAGTTATACTTCGTCGTGTGTCACCTTTTTTCATGTGTTAACTGTCCTCAAACTGTGTTATATTTTAACGCTATTGTAAGTTCAAGTAAATTCCTTGTTTCCCAGTAAACTAAATTATTGTAAATTTTAAGCATAATTACTGTGAGCAAACTATTTGCTACCTCCTTTCCCCACCACACACACACACGCTGTCCATCGGGCTTTCAGCTAGGCTCAGCTTATCTTTTTTTTTTTTTTTTTTTTATTCCTTCACCTTTTATATAACTCTTATTTGGTATTTATTTATTTATTTTTTTTAATTTCACCCTTTTGAGCTTTCAATAAACCTGTTGATGAACAGAAATTTATCTTCAGAATCTTGAGTGACGCAAGACGTTTTATCTGACTGTCGGAGGTACACACACCCGCGCAGGATGGACGCATATCTAGAGGCAGTACATTGCCCACTTCCAGCCCATGTTTTGATAGCCAGTTGCACAAATTCGTTCGATATGTTTTTCCATTTACCCTTTTTGCTTACAGTATGTTCAATGAGTGCTAAAATCTCGAACTCCCTTTTTAACCCAAGTGTCCAGACATGCTAAATGCCTCTTGCTGATTGCAAGTACGTGTGAATGATTATAGTTATTGGAAACTTTGTGAAAAGAAGTGTGGAGAAGTGCTAGAGGATTCTTAGTATTATTCATCGGAAACTTCGAAAATAAACGAATAGAATCAAAGGCATAAACATATATTACTATATTCCTGGTTTAACAAATAACACAGTTCCACGTCATCTTGGGCCCAAAAGACTCAGCAAAATAAGGGGCTTGTTTAATCTCTCAATATATTTAAATATATTTACGTGAAAGTAAAGGATAAGCAAAGTATTAAGAAATAGGAAAATTTTCGTTAGAAACAAAAAAAAGGAGTAGTAAACTTATTTAATATCCGTCTTCTCCTATGTCAATGAATGTTGGACAATCTGACAGATGGAGAAGGGACTTGGGGAAACAGAAACGTGGTTCTGCCGAAGGATGCGGAGAACACTATGGACTGAACATATGAGTAACGAGAAGGTTTTCAAGTTAATGAAAAAAAAATAGACACATACAAAGAATAAAAGGATGTTTAAACAGAGATAGCTGACATTTCTAGAATACATAATGAAAAAAGAGGGCCTAGAGAATCTGACACTCACAGGACATATGGTAGACAAGAGGGACAGGGAAAATTAAAGAGTAACTTCTTAACGAGTGTGTCTAAATCGTTGGCAGAACAAGGATTGGCAGAGATAATGATAAAAGGAACGTTACTGAGAGTTATAAAGAATAGGAAGTTGTGGAAAGACAAGATAGCCACGCCCTTAAAGGGACACTGTACATAGAAGAAGTGAATAGGTTGAGAAAATTGTAGTCTGATTATCCGTTTCAGTGTCCATAGAAAAGAACTTAGGCAAGATCATTTCATATAGCCGACATTTAAAAATTTTAAAAACGGAACGAAGAAATTATTTAAAAGAAAAAAAAAAGGAAGACGGTTTCTGGTTAAAACTTGTCGATGATTAGTCATAAACTGTCGATGTAATTAGCAGTGGGCATATGAAGAAAAAAAAAACACTTTGAAAATATCAAAGTTGTCTAATCTTTTTTAACTTCTATATTAAAACGTGTAGTTAATGTAACTGTTAGCATGAAATTCTTTTGACAGATTCCTGTTTTTTATTATTAATAATAATATTATTATCGTAGTTCTTTTGGTTTTATTTTCCATTTTGGGTTTGTATTGGTAGGGTTTGTTTTTTGTGCTTTTACTTCACCGAGCTTATTCCGACGCATATATATATATATATATATATATATATGAGGTGCATTCCAGAAGTTTTAAGACTTTTTCAGAAGACATTTAATTTCAAAATAGTACAAAACTCACTTTCATTGTGGGGAAAGAGTATCAACCCGATTCCTATAGGCACGTTGGTTCATTTTAGGGAACCCCTTTTTTACAAAGGAGGATTCGCTGTCGTTTTTGGTTAATACCAAAGCGCTACAAGAATTCCCTTTAAATCTTAACGAATAGACGGCTGCACTCCTAATGTTTGAATAAGCATAAATATATACTATCTTCACGAATATTTCTTAAAACCACGCTTGGGTTGTTTCTTGTCTTTTCACATCCTCTCTTTTCCTTTTAAATCCCTGTCAAGAAGTAAGGTGCCGGTCGTCGGCACAGAAAGTGGGATCGGTATGTAGAGTTCAAATCCAGGTCTTTGCGATTACTTTCGCACAATTAACTTCGACTGCGGTATGAATACTTTTCCACCAGGTTGGATTCTTTAGCCTTGGTTGACAACCAGTATTGGAGCAGGAAAACTAAATTCAAAACTGTCTGGGCGTGGGGTTGACAACACCACCTAAAAAGAAAAAACTATTTGGTACAGAAATCACGGTAGAAACGAGCAAGATGAGATGGACTCGTCTCTCCCTCGAGAAATGATAAAATAGCATTTTTTTATAGTAATTATTAAAGACTATTTCAATTTTAAGAAGTTTTTAAACTTCTGAAATGTATACTTTGAGTTTTTTTTTTTTTTATATATACAACAATTTCAAAAATTTGAAAAGAATTTTCCTTGTTGCCTGGCTGTGCTGGCTCGCTTTGGACTAATGCCGGTTTCTCATGAGCACCACCATTTTTGTTTCGATCGGAGACGAAGCTAAACGACACTCCAAACACATAATATAGTAATAATAATATCAAAAAAGTAGTTCGTATTTTAAACTAGTATATATCTACGCTGGTTTTAAAATATCACTTAGCACTAAATAGTTAATAGCACAAACGATAGAAACCGACATTTCACGGGGTCTTCAAAACATATATATATATATATATATATATATATATATATACACGTCGACGAAAGGTAAAGTTAGTTTAGTGAAGATGTACAATAACGTCTACAGCAGCAGAAGTATCTAATAAAATTTGAATTCTGAAAAGAAGCAACACAGAGTTCCTGACTTAAACAAGCCGAGTTTAATCTCATACAAGATTTGGTATTTAGAGCGCTGAATAAGAATCGAACACGGGAATGAATTGGTCGACGAAACAAACTTAAGCAATTCGATCCTATTTGACAGGTATTTTCTAAGCTTATCTTAATCTGGCAAGGCGGGGCACAAGAGTGTGTAATCCAATTAGGACTAGATTCGTGACAGTAATAATAACCTACTATACTATCATTATTCATTACCACATGTCGATATATCATAAGCTGAGTTTCGTGTAGAACAAGGCTAAATTCAGAGAGTACCTAATGTCCTTTCAAGACGGGAGCGATCATACCTCTCCACAGCTTATCCTTTGTAACCATAAACAATGATTGTCCGGTTTTTATTTTCTCTCCGTACCTGTTTCGCTATCTATTTACACAAGATAGTTGGGCCTCTTACTCGCTGCTTCGCTTTGTCCTTCAACACGGCCTGTAAGTGCCAAATTCTACAAACACTTGGCCTTTATTATGCGTCCCAGAAATTTCAGCTGTCTTATTCTAACCCCAAGCACAAGTATCACATTATCCTTAAAACTTCATCTCTGGATAAGTATTCTCAGCATCCTTCTGTAAAACCACATTCTTGTCGCCTCAAATCTCCTCTTCATCTGCCTCAGCAATATTGAAAGATTCATATTACATAACACTAGAGCACATTTCTCTTTTTGTTTTCCGACGAAATATTCCTGTTTCTTGATACTCTGTTTCGTTTTCGGAAGGCATGTTTCATTATTACAATGCGACTTTGGATTTTTCTCACATTTTCCATTGACTGTTATAACACTGCCCAGATACTTCCCTTTTTGTACTTGCTTGATTTTGACGTCTCCAATTCGTAGTTTGCAACTTAAGCTGTCCCTTTTGCTAACGACTATATATTCTGTTTTCTTACAATTGATAATTCCTCCTTTCTTATCGTTTTCGTGTCCTAACTTGTCTTGAAATGCCTACAGTTTGCTTTCTGCATCTGACATCAACCCCATACCATCTCCGTATCGTATGTGTCCACCAACAATAAATCATGGTAGGACTTCTACTTCTCTTAGGATCGTCTTGCTGTAAAGGTTGAATAATCTTGTGAGAAAACTCATCTTCTATGTCCCTTTCTATTTTTCCTGTACTTACATTTTTATATCCATCTATATGCAAACGGTTTGTTTCCAATAAATGTTCCAGATTATTCCAATATCTTTTGCAAATAAATCTTAACTATTCAAATAATTCCACCTTCACTTGTGAATTGATTGATAGGAGGTTACTAATCATGCAGTTACTGAAAGCACTCTTTTTATATATATATATATATATATATATATATATATATATGTGTGTGTGTGTGTGTGTGTGTGAGAGGTGTGTAGATTTAATAGGCCGGTTAATGAAATTTAAAGAATAAAAAACAATATTGGCTATATATATATATTTATATATATATTAGCCATTTGCCAAATTAAAGTACGAAAGAAAGATTTTCAAGTCGAAATTTTTCGGACACGTCTGTGTCCTTTTCAGCGAGACAAGGAATAAACAAAAGAAGTGGAACTTACTCTTCCAATGAATTTTCTCTTCGTTCTTCAATTTAATCATAAATCTACATATAAAAGCACACGGGGACCATCTTTTGTTTTAATGAGTATATATATATATATATATATATATATATATATATATATATATATATATATATATATATATATATATGCTAGTTAGCTAGCTATCTTTCTGTTATACAAGTTTCATTGAATGTGATGACAAAGTTTGTTTTTTTTTTTTTTTAATTCAGTTTGTCTAATGATTCTACATTTTTTTTCTTTTATAGGGGAGTAACAGTATGTACATTGATTTTTACAGCTTGTTAACCATTTTGTAGCTTATTTAAAGCAGAAACTATTTCACATTGTAGGAGGTTGATTACAGTAACTGATATTCCCAAGTGATCTCTCATCTAATTACTGACCGGGCTCGACACTGCTTAACTTCGGTGATCGAACGTGGACCGGCGTTTTCAGCGTGATTTGACTGTAAGCAGACAGTGTAGAAACTATACGTAATGATTAATGTCACAAGCGTTTCAGCGAGTTCATTAGCCATTTTTAAAGGATTCGTTGTACGTATATTTTTCCATGTTTGTATTCCAAGTTGTATAGAAGTAGAAGTAGTAGTTCATGTTGGAGTACCTTTGAAACACTACCAACACGTTTCACCCGAAGCTAAGATGGAGACTTTGCTTAAACCAATTTATATAAGATGTTTCAATTATCTTTAAACGTTTATTACAATTATATATACTTAAAATGACAATGTTATCTACAAGGATTTCTCTTATGAAAGTAAAAATCTGTGTATGAGTGTTTAAGTTCTTATCGAACTAAGATCACTTAAATAGTAGTTTGTCAGTCTACGACTCGTATGTGTATTGGTGTATATACATACATGCAGATAGATAGATAGATAGATAGACAGTTGTGTGCCTGTGTTCACAACATGATTAGTCTGCAATTACTAACATTTTCCTGTAATCATCATGCACTGACAGTATTTAAACGCGTTTATATTTGCCGCCATTTTCCACAACATACGTAAACTAGTGTGAGATATATATGTTTAAAAAATCTAACGAGGTTATTATCAATAACATGTGACCTCAAAATTGTGTATTAATTCTAATATATTTTAGGGGATAGCATCTCCAATATCAAAGATAATAATAATAATAATGTAGGTTCTGTGATAATTACCCAGAAACAATTAATCATCTTGTATCAGGTTGTACGGTATTGGCACCCACTGAATATAAAACCCGGCATGACAGAATTGGCCAATATCTGCACTGGAAAATCTGCAACTTCTACGGGAAGGAAAGTGAAAGAAACTGGTATGAACACCACCCAGACCCGGTTACGGATATAGGACCTGTTACAATTCTATGGGATTACACAATACACACTGACAGAACAATCAAAGCTAACCGCCTAGACATTATTATTAGAGATCGCACACACAAAATGTGCCTCCTTATTCATATGGTAGTCCCTGCAGACTGCAATGTATCTTTGAAGAGCTTCAAAAAGCTATCAAAATACAAGGACCTTGAAATCGAAATCTCAAAAATGTGGCACATGGGAACATCAACAATCTCCGTTGTAGTTGGAGCCCTCGGATTGGTTGGAAAAGATTACATTAGACTTATTGAAGGGATTCCTGGAACCCCATGCCTTAAAGAAATACAAAAAATTGGTCTCACCAGTACAGCCCACAACTTACGAAGGGCTTTATCTATGTAAAATATTTTTTTTTTGTTCGTTTTTTTTTTTTTTTTTTCAGTGGAAAATTTCATGATGCCATTTCTAATCTTAGGCCCCTGGGCTTGACCCAGAAAAAAATGTGTACACACCAGAAATCAAAGGAAATAAAATAATAATAATAAATATTAAATTCTTAAATTGACTAAACATGCACAATACTCTCTCGTACATTAATTTGTCGAAACTTAATGCAATTCGTGCATATATCAATCATTGCAATACAAAAAACCAAAATACAAGTATAAATGTAATAATAAATTACTATACAACGCTCGCTGTAAAGAAAGACTCAAAATTCTATAAAACATCTTTCTTTTTTTTAAATTAAAATATATTTAACTACAGGTGATGATATTTTGAAGAGTATAAAATATGCTAATATATTACTATGCATATATAATAATACGTATAACTATTTGAAACAGGTTTTTTCGGTGCACTATACATTCATTTAACAGTTACACCTGATGTTCCTATAGGCGAATTCTATATGTGCTAGGATTTAGCCTACAAAATCTTGTCTATCACACTAACAACATCAATTCTTCCTAATAATTGAGACTGTCGAAAGTACTTAAACAAAAACAAAAAATCCGGACAGTTTATCCGCAATTTGCTTTCAATGTACAACATCTTATTTGATAAGCGGAAAAAATACAAAAAAAAAAAAAAAAAAATGAAAAAACCTTCTCGGTTAAATTTAACAAAGCTTGTTTGGATTGCTTCTTGCTGCCTAAATGTACCTTTACAAACAATTATATACATTACACACATGCACGCTACCTGAAATTCGGAAACTTTTAACATGAAAATAAAACACTTACCCTAAAACAGTTACCAAACTCTCCGTCGAAGACAGACCTCTTCTGCCGTTTGCACATTGGTTCACAAAGTGTACTGCTCACAGAAAGACAATGGCAGATGTCCATACTACATTTAGTAGAGCCTTGTGTGTATCATGCAGTAGATGCTGGTTAACACCAGAACCTAAATGTAGCAGTTTGGTTCAATTAGCCAGCTACCCGAGTTATTTACATCATATATATTAAATATATTATAATAATGGCGGATTCCTTACACCAAAACAAGGACAAAAGTCCATATAAAGTTTATAAAAGATGGATAGGTCGGTGAGGATCGGTTTCATGGCCTGCACGTTCCCCCGACCTCAATCCTTTGGATTTTTATCTATGGAGGCTACCTAAAACAACTGGTTTATGCAACAGACATCAATAATGAATAGACGCTTCATCAACGTGTCATGGGGGCCTGCGAAATTATTCGACACAGTGTGGGAGTATTTGAAATTGTCCGCCAATCAATGGTACGACATGTGCGTGGATGTGTAGAAGCAATCGCACGATATTTTAAACATTTGTTATGAGTTGCTGTGTTAAGGTATAACGATGGCCTTTTAGACATTTGTTTATATGGACATTTTACCTTGTTTTGGTGTCAGGAACCCAACCCAAGGGATTTTTTAATTATATCTTGGATTGTACATTTAACAGCGTCTACCGTAAACTTTGAACTTAATGAACTCAAAAGCGAATAATTTGCGGACTTTTGTCCTTGTTTTGGTGTGTGCAACCCACCCACAAAGTTTGTAAAAATAATTTTTGATACACTCTGTAGATATATTTACGTATTTATATAACATTTTAAATGTGCGTATTTTAAGTTTTAGGATGAAGTATTTTGTAAAACAATAAATAATTTTGTCTTAATCAGATAATAAACGACAAAAATTCAGGTCGTTTTTATCTTAAAAAAATCGGTGCAGATATCTAGTTGACATAACGAATTCCTTCCCTTCTTCTAAGTGTTGTGTCTTGTAAGCGACCATGGCTCTCCACAAGTTCCTAGCTCTTAGTAAGGTTTACTTTTGCTTGTTTTTTTTTGTTTTTTTCTATCTATCCTAATCCCTGTTCTGCCACTCAATTATGCAAACTCATTAGGTAGGTTTTTTGCTACTTTCCCCCGTCTGTCTTGCCTTTAATATATCTTGTGAGTGTCAAGTTCTCCAAGCTTTCTTTCCTCATGTTCCCTAGAAATTTTAATTACAGCACAGAGTACAGTGCATAAATATGGTCAAATCGCCCATCTCTTTGAAGTGAGTCCTTCTCCCAGCGTAAAATCGTTGTTTATTTCGTTTTGTTAAACAATGAGGTTCTCCCTGTAAAAGGTCTGGGAGCCATTCAAGGTAGAGAGATATATAGTAAGGGACAAAGTTTATGTCGATGAGTGGTTAACCCTAGACTTGAGCAGGTTAAGATTGTTGTGATCGGGAAAACATCTTCCTGGGAGTCGGTTCCACAGAGCAGTGGTTTGTGGGAAGAAATTGCTCACCGATGGAACACGGGGGTGGGGGGGAATGAAGGTGGTTTGCTACAATGTGCGTGGAATAGCGGTTCCTAGCCTTGAAAGTTAGAACAGGTGGAATTAGAGAATGGAGTTCTCCTGAGCATTTTCCATGGAAGTAGCGATAGAGTAGTCAGAGGCTTGCGACATCTCGTCTGTAAGAAAGGGGTTGCAGGCTGGAAAATAATTTGCCACCCACAAGGACGCGGAGACGTTTTTGGACTATCGAGACCGGAAAGTAAGAACTGAACAGCTCCGACCCAAATATAACAGCATTATTCCATTTTAGGCCTGATCTTGCTCTTAGAAATATAGAAGATAACATGAAGAGTCAAGTACGATAACGGTACGGTAGAGTGAACTGGCCATTTTTCCTGCATCTTTTACGATGGATCTTATGTACGATTTCCACGTGAGGTTTGAGTTGAGTTTGAGGCCCAGCAGTCACTCAACGCACGGGGCCTCTTTGAGGGAACATCTATTCATCGTGACCGAGTACGAACACCTCTTAAATTCAATTCCAGTTGAGAACATTCTCACGTTTGAATATCTTGTCGCTGATAACGTCTAATTAGATCTCCAAAGGACTTGCATATCACGCTACATTTATTGCATATCAGTTTTCCTACAGCAACTTCGCTTTCTGGATGCTGATACTAATAATGCCGAGTGAGTCCATTAGCTAACCTACACACAGTAATACTGAGGTTGCAAGAGAAATCAAGCAGGGTGTCATATTGTCAGACAGCAAATTATCGCACTTTTAGTTTCTTACCCCTTTTTAGAAAAGTACTCGACGGTCTAATCAACGTCGAATTGGTTAAGCATCTTACTTCACACATCGTGCTTTCAGACAAGTAATATGGTTCCCGTTTCACCAGGTTTACCGCCGATGTGAAAGCAGCCATTACTGAAGTTGTCTATCAAGCTTTCAACTATTCAAATGTAATGTCAATCGACATCTCCAGTTGCCTTGATCTATCCACTATCTTTCTCCTCATTCTTTCCTCTATCACTCCTATCTGATCTTGCTCCAAATCTTCTGTAACCCCTTGCGTCCTAGTGGCTTCCCGCTTTGCTTGGGGTGAAACTAAAAAAAAAAAAAAAAAAAAAAAAATAAATATATATATATATATATATATATATATATATATATATATATATATATAAGAACGGCGAAGCTCGGACTATAGCTCTAGATATCTCAAAGCCGTTCAAGAGAGTTTGGCGTGCTGGCCTTCTAAGCAAGATACAAAGCTATTGTTCTGATGAGCTTTCCTCCTTAGGGATTCGATTGCATGAATTTAAGCGTGCAACTAAATTGGCAACTAGATCTCACCGTTTCACTAGCTATACGCATGCGCCATTTCTAGCAGTTTCTTTTCTCATACTTCTCGCCTGTAGAACACCTTTCTGCTTCATTGCTTATCTGCCATCTACAATTTTCAAAATCCTAAATGCAACGTCAGTCGCCATATTCTATCTTCCTGATGTCTCTTCATTTATTGTCCTTACCTCACTAATGTCTTCTCATTCTCTTTCACATCTTGTAAACCCCTGCGTTCTAGTGACATTATCGTTTTGCTTGGGGTGAAATTATTAATATATGTTTAAATGCCGAGCGAACACCTGCACAAAGATTACTATGTAAAATAGGTTATGCATGTATGTAAGTGTGTGTAAATTTCACGTAAAACTCTGACATCAAATGAATGTTTTTTTTTACTATTATTTATACTAGCAGTATGGGTCTTATAACCTGACGCCTGTTTAACATGTTTACTATGTATAATAATAATCACATTTTTAAAAAAATGCTATTTTACTTTCATAAATAAGTGATGGCATTTATAATTCAAAATTATTCATTTAATAAAGTTATTTTTGACTTTCTATTTTGATCAAAGTTTGAAAATAAAGGAAATAAATAAAATGGAAGTAAGTGAAGTTGATATTTTAATATTTCTTTTTTAAGCATTTCACCCCAAGCAAGGCGAGAGTGCCACTAGTACGCAAGGGAGTACAGAGAGTGTAAGGGAAACGACTGGGTATAGGGGGGTTGAGGAAATAATGAAAAGAAGAATGGAGGAGAAGGATAAAAAGAAGAATGGGGATCAAGACAACAGAAGATGTCGATTGACATTACATTTAAATTTTTTGAAGATTATAGTTATCAGGGAAGCAAGTAAGAGGAAGGGAGTTCCATTGTCGAAAGTGCGAGAGAAGGAGTTGTTTACATTTAAGTGTTTCGACAGTAAAACGGTGGGACCGAGATGCTAACCTAGTAACACGCAGTCGGGGCACCAATGAAAATAGCTCGTCAAAGCAGATATCATGATATATTTATAGAAAAGACAGAGGGAAGCCACATCACGTTTATATGAAAGTGACTGTAGTCGAGACCCCTAGTCAGGACCGATCACATTGCATATCCGTCTTTGGATTTTGTCGAGAACCTCGAGATGACCAGCGGGGGCACCAGACCATATATGGCAACAGTATTCCATGCATGGACGAATGGTAGATTTAAAAATCTAAAAGGTTCATTTCTGAAATATATATTTTTAATATTTTCTTTATAAAAGAAGTCATATAATTTGCTTTGGTTTTTGTTTGGCTTTATTACGCTTGCTTACGGCCACATAACGTCGAAACAGCGATTCCCGTAAGATCACGCAAAGTTAAGCAACGTCGAGTCTGGTCAGTGCCTAGATTGGCGACCGCTTGGGAATACCAGGTGTTGTTAGCTTGGATGTGCGGGTGGTGTAATGAATAATGGCTCGGAATTATTAATTGGAAAAGCCGAGTTTCTCGTCTAGTTGGGTTCGTTATATTCCTTTATACACAAACACCTTTTTTAAAGGCATGAATCTACCAGTTCCCCTGCAGCTATGGATTAATTAGTAAGACTCGTATTCCTAAAATGATTATTATCTTTTTAAAAAATTACAATCAAAAAATATTTTCTGGGTTTAAATATCCGGTAAGGAGTTGATAGATAGACCGTAGAAAACGAATCAATCTCCGAATTACTTAGGAAGTGTACTTGTCAAACTCTCTGCCTCTGGGCGTAGAGAAACTTAGATGAGGTTGTGCCGAAAGGCAGAGTCTCGTCTGGGGTGGTAGACAGCTACCCGACTCCGTTTTTACGGTTATACGGGAAAATTTTGCCCGAGCCTACGGGATCGGATACCTCACTGTAAACTTGGTCTTGTGCCGCATCCGGCTGCGTGGGGCGGTTATTGAATATCTCAATCAATTTATTGAGTTTCTTTAAATAAAGAACAAAAACTTACTCGTTAAAACGGAAGATTTTTTCTTTATACATAATAATAATAATAATAATAATAATAATGTTTTTAATGGAAAAAATTAATTTTCCACGGTTTATTTAATATTTTGATTTAATATATTTTCCTCGGGATACTGAACAAATTAAAATAATAAATAAAAAAACAAATATAAGTATGGTTTGGAATTTTTTTTTTCTCTTTCTGGTAAAGATTCTGTATAGCAAACCAGAATATTTTCCCTAATAGTATAATCATTTTTTCCTGATTAGGATCTTTTGAAGTGGCTCTAAAATCGGAGTTGGATTTACAATGTATGTATAAAGCAAAACTGGACACTGTTTTTATGCCCATTTGTATAACAGTGGGAGTTTCATTTGCAATGCGATACTTATTTTGTGTTTACAAATTTTAAGAAACATTAGATTAGTTTATGCGCATATTGTCATTGTACCGTTGTTAATGTTACCTTTGCTGGCGTTCCCCACCCCCAGACAATATTGGAACCTTCTAATATTATATATTCTTTTCTTACGGATATAAGTGTGCTCTATTTGAAATTCTTTTAAAATAGATTTTTAATACACATTAAAAAGAAACATTTTATTTTTTTTCACCCATGAATAAATAAAACAATTTTTTTTTCATGTTTGGGAACAAATTTTACACTTATGCCGATTTGTTTGAAGACTAAGTTATTCATTTATTTTTTGTAGGATTGTTATGGTTCAGGCCATTTTTATAGATTAAGAGGAAATTTTAAACATAAATTTCTAATATCTTCCGAGCGTTTTCGGCTTTTGTAAGCTGTTATCAGAGAATTTTAATTTCGCGTTGATTGGATTTTGATGTACCCTCTCTATACACCGTACATAATGTGTTTAATATCTGGATATTAGATTTGTTTTGGCTTTTCAAATGTTGTTTAAAAGAAATAACTACCTAAATTAACTCAATATGTCCCGCGGAGATATTTCGTCTTTATTCAGTTTTTATAAATTCTGGTAAGGCTAAATTTTGTCTCCCCACCTTACATCTGCAGAACATAACAGCTGGCATCGGTAACATGTACACCATTATCTTATTATCAGCCTTATATATATATATATATATATATATATATATATATATATATATATATATATATATATATATATATATATATATATATATATTACGAACAAATTACTTTTACACACGAGTGGTAATATTTAATTTGCATAACAATTTCTTAAAAATCATATTGTAATAAATATTTAATCGATAATTTTAACTCTAATTTAAAAAAAAAAATATATATATATATATATATGCAATATTTCATTTGATAAATTTATTTTTTAAATTTGTGTTTGTATAGAAAGAATTTAAACCCGCCTTTTCGAAACACAGTCGTAAGCTAGATAAAATATCAACGTGTTTATATTTAATGAAAACGTAAAATGAATGTAATTTTGAATTCTAAAATATCGTTTTTTAAAAGAAGCGGGCATGAAGTGGTGATTTTCCAAGCATAGCTTAGATGTAGCACAAGGCCAAATGTATGGGACACCTAGTGGGGATCGAACTCACTACTCAGTTGTAATTGTTCTAGCAAGACAAGTTGCGCCAACCACTACACCGCCGCGAGGTGTCTAAGCGGACATGAAGTAAATAAATATATTGAAGTCCCCCGCCGTATGAGGGTCAAGCAGTTCAATTCTTAGAACGAACAGTCAGAATACCCGCACACATTTGATTATAGTGGTGAAGGTTTAAAGTGCAGAACCAACCATAATTTTTGGAAGAGCCGAATACAGAGAACTGATGCACACAGTGTGCCACAAGGTGACCAAACGCCACTAGAACTTATATATATATATATATAAAGCAATTCCCACCAAGCAAGGCGGGAGTGCCGCTAGCACACAAGGGGTTACAGAGGATTGAGAACAAAAGTAAAGAGGCGTGTTGGGGGAGATGAAACAGAGGAGCACCAGAAACAAGATCAAGGTATCAGATGTCGATTGACATTACATTTGAATATTTGAAGATTATAGTCATCGGGGAAGTTCCACAGACGAGAAGTGCGAGAGAACAAGAGACGGTTGCATTTAACCATTTCCACAGTGAAAGGGTGGGAACGAGATTGCAGCGTAGTAGCTCGCTTAAATTCATCAAGTGTGGGGATCGGCGAAAGTAGCTAGTCGAAACAGTTGCTTTGAAAATACATGTAGAAGAGATAGAAGGAAGCCACGGCATATTTGCCATAGAAATTCTGCTAACGATCGCTAGATGACATTGACAAAAATCACTATAAAAGAAAATGTTGCGAAGTAGCTCTCACTCTCTCCCCACATGGACAAGACGTGTCTCATTTCATCTCTGGGAGACCTCTTAGTCTCCAGTGAACTACGTGTCACATTGTACACAATACAGCATACAAGTGCCCTACATCAACAACTACCAAATCAAGAAACTCTTCTTCAATGTAAAAATGTTCTATAGGATTTTACACTCAAACACACACCGTATGAATGAGTAAGGACATATCTATATACAGATTTCCATTTACTTATTTTTAGATCCTAATTAGTTTGCTTAGGCAATAAAATATTAAATGTGCGATATTATTTATAATTTCATTCTCATCTCCTGGTCGAGGAAATATCCCATGCAAACACAATACTATCACTACGCTATCTCTTCCACCAAATATCTCTCTTCAATACTAGGTCGCAGGATAAAAAGGGAGTCACTCACTACTAATGAAAGAGTATTAACCTCTATATATCATTTGTACATCGTATAAGTCTGCTAATTTTTTAAAAAAATTAGCAGCCGTAAAAATATTTTTTTGTTCTTGCCTTAGTACAGTGCAAACGAAAAGATAATTGAGATTATATAAGAGAATGTCTTACCATTTGCTCACAGGCTCGTACCTGGGCTTCTCTGAAGAGCCGTAAATCATAATGGGAAGCAAGGCCTTTCAAGAGTGGTTCCCGGCTGCGGCCATGTTTCTCTCTATGGGCTAAATGTTCACTTTTCAACTCATGTGATAGTGAGACATTGCCCTTCTTTCGAATTTCAGAAACTTTCTGAGTCTTCTCTTTCTGTTCTTCTGTTGGTTGCTGGAAATGTGCAAAGACACCAAAAAACATCAGTCATAGAATAAGGGAAAAGTTTTTAACTATTTCTTAGTAAATATAATGTTCTACTTGGGATCACCAATTTGTTAAGAAATTAATTTATTTGAAAAAGAATCCAAGATTAAGTAATGTACACAAGTTATAGAGTTCAAAGGTTGGTTGAAAGTTCTGTTGTATTAATGAAAGAAAGTGTTATAAAGACATGACAGGACTGGACCAGACTATTCATGTAAAAAATAATTATTTAAGAAGATTATGCATGTAGGAAAGGCAGTATATTGTGCGAGTGCTGATTGGTTGATCTTGTTTAGCGGCATATCAATCTCTATGGGTTATTTAAGGCTGAAATCTAAATATTTTGTATATAATTTTAGGGCTTCAACTAAATATATTTTGAACGCAATAGTATGCCTTCAACTGCAGATAAAATGTATAATTGGTAATTCTCCTATAAAATATATTGTTAGTAATTTTACTATAAATATGTACTGTTGGTACTTTTTTTACATGAAAATATATTGCTAATATTTTCACTATAAAAATGCATTTTTATACTTTCAAGGTGTTTTTTGTTTGGAGGTTCACTATTCACAGCTGGGACCTTAACATATGCTACCACCCCAGGTTAGGGTGAACTCGAGAACAACAACTATTAAGAGTTTCTTCCATTCACCTCAAAACCTTCAATCTCTCGATCAGAGACCTTGCTGCCAGATGTAGTTTATCGTCATACTCAGGACGAGTGAATGTTGGGATTAGCAGTTAGCTATGTTCATTTCCTTAGCCGAAAGAAAAGTATTAGATTTCCATTTGTACATAGCAGAAAATGTTATAAAGACAGGACAAGACTAGACCATGCCTGCCAAGAAAATGTGTCCAGTCTATACTATTTACTCCCTAGTCAGGGAGAAGAAAATATGGATTTATGCCTTTCCCAATAACTGAAAAAGTGAAAGCAACAGATAAGGCTTGAATTTGAACTCGACTCAAAGAACAAAATATAAGGAGTCAAGAATAATTTCATGTCATTTCTCGTTTTGAAACGATTTCGGTTTGACCAACTAAAAGTTAAAACTATGAGATTTCATGGTACCTCATTATACCTTTACAAAAAACTTTTCTCTTCCATTAAATTCTAGAAGAAAAATTGGTACACGTCTATATCAACATAAAAATTCAGTAGTCATCAAATGAGAATAATTTAAATTTGTAGTAATAATACAATACGCAATTTTAAAGCTAGGCAATGTGTACTGGTTTATTATTATTGACGTCAAATGCAATTCTTACAGATTTCAAAAATGTGCTTTTATGTTTGAGATTTCACTGCGCATGCGCCCAAATATTAACCAATGAACAAGCTTTTCATAAAAAAAATATGGCAGAAATAAGAAAAGTCCGAAAATGCAGATGATTGTTCATGGAAGCAGTAATATATATGGCTCTCGAACCGTCGTATTACAACATTATAAGAAAAAGAGAATTTGCTTAATAACTGCGAACATTCAATAAAACCTCGATTTTATGTTCCTTAATTTAAGGAATATCGGATTTAAGGAACCACTCGTGGATCACATAGTGCATAACGAACCGACTATTTTTTGCTGATTCATTAATTTCATTTTAATGTCTCTTCAAGCTTAAACTTATTTTGGGAGTTGTAAGAATGATTCTTTTTTTTTTCTAGAGTGATTATTGCATTAAAAAATTTGGGAGATCACAATGACTTTCCAAGATACAAGCCCTACTATTTAACCTATAGCTGGGTGTGTTTTTACTGAACGGTGTTAAATAAATGCTAGAACACATTCATAGCCACAGTTACGAGTACAAGGCAAATTACAGTGTAGTTTACATCTATAGAACCCCTTCCAAAACCCTCTTAATATAAACAGGTATGGTATTACTTTTTAGTGATTGGCTGCTTCAATAATTAAATGCGCAATGTTTCTTACGGGAAAATTTTATAGTATATTAAATAAAGGTGGTATAAAGAGTACATTCACAAAATAACAGACCAATTGATTTGCAATGCAAATATAACATTTATTAAAACAAAATTAACAAAAGTAAAGTTTAAAACAAAAGTTTTTTTTGTCAGACGTTAATTGTATACACAACGAAATGTTCATTACTTTGTTATAGTCGGAAGTTACTTTGTTGGTATGTTTTATGTGAAGTATTCGCAGTCCTTGTAACTTTAGCATGGAAGGTTCATGTCTTTTATATTCGGGCTGCTGCTGATACAAGGTTAATTTAGAGCTGCTACTATTATTATCTTTAATGCCACTGCATTACGATTGCTTTATTTGAAATTTTATACTGTTTTACGTAACATTGGCAATTTGAATGATGACCGTCTTGGATTTTTTTTTTTTTAATATTCATTAAATACAGTGGTCTACAGAACTTGTTTCTTCTTTACGAAATGAGGGATTTACCGAATTTAAGTAATACACCACCCCACAAATTATGTCAAAGCGATTGCGATGACTCTCATAGAAATAAACATTAACATATGTACAAACATATTTGAATATCAAAGTCTAAAAATAAAAATGCACAGGTATTTTTTAAAGTTTTATTTATGTGTATATCATTGCAAATATGTATGTGCTAATAAGCTTAAGTGTTTTTGTGTACAAGAAAATTACTGAACGAACATTTTACAAATACACACATACGCATGCAGTAGAATAGTTAGGAAGCTTGTCTCTCTGGAACGATTACGACTGAGTCGTGAGTTCGATCCTCACTGAGTGTCCCATACTTTCGGCCTTGTGCCTAATCTAAACTACGCCTTAAAAAAATCATACGCGTGCAATAGATAAAAAAGACACGACGAACCGCAAACTCGGCGCTGCAGTTGTGAAGTGTCCAAAAACCTGCTATAATATTGACACATGCATGCACAACAGGAAGAGACGTCGGAGAAAGAAAGTGAAGAGTTACCCCCCAGCAAGGTAGAAATGCAGAGAATTAGAAACTCAGTATATAAACTAATAGAAAGATTGCAAATTAGTCTTGCATTAATGAGTTAAGGAGGATGACGATCTGACGCTGCCTCAAGTTATTGGCATCTGTATGCGTCTGTTAAAAAGTAGTCACTCTCTACGATAAGCGCCCGAGGCAAGCTAACATCAGCGACGACGATACGACAGCCTTCCACCCGCTGCTTCGGCTTGAAGGCGGAAAAATCAGCAACGCTTCTCTCGCCAAGTGGCGCTACTGAGATACCGCTACACTGCTGTGCTTTCTTCGCCCATGAATCGGGACAAGAGCCATGCAAATAGCTTTTAATATAATATTATTCAATGGCAAAAACTGGCAGCAAACGCCGCGCGTTGCTCGGAGGCTCGCTAAGACTCATGAATATTGTTCTTTTTGTTAGTGATTCCATTCATAAATACTGAACATTCCAGCCATTTTGCCTAATAATGTTATCTATTTCACTTGGAATTGATTTCATTGTTTACCCAAAAGCTTTACAATGAGAAACAGACAAATAAATAAAAGACAATGTCGGAAAGGATTGGGTTGGACAAATGCATGTACAATTCCAGTAACAAATTTTATAAATAGAAAAAAGATGTTTCTTTTATTTTCACGACGTTTACGTTTGCCCATTTAACAAAATCTCAGATAACCAAATGAAAATGAAAGAATGAATGTGATTTCATGGTACATTGACTCGTATTTTTTAATCTTAATCCAATATAAGGCTCAGAAGCCACTCATAGTAGAGTGTTACCGAGTGCTGTTTTTGTATGGATGTAGGCGGAGGAAGTGTGGCTTATTAGAATATATAGGTTAATAAAGGGTGTTCCAATAACTTGGACTGGTTTTAAATTAAAATTAAAACTGATTTAATTAAAATTAAATTAAGTTTAAGCGTCTAATGATTTTTCTTTTTCTTTCACATTTAACAACTTAAGTCTTTGACAATTTCAACCATGGAAAGATTAACAATCAAACAATGTGTTGTTCAAGTTATCGAAGCCTATTACGAAAATAGACGTTCAAACAAAATTTGAATGAGAAGTTCCCAGATCGCATCATCGCTCGAAACAGCGAAATCAATTGGCCACCACTATCGTGCGACTTGACACCTTTAGATTTTTTCCTTTGGGGTCATCTCAAAAGTAAGGTCTATACCAACAAGCCAACAACAATTCAACAGCTGAAGGATGAGATAATAAGGCATATTAATGAGATCAATGAGCAACTATGCAGAGACGTCATCACAAATGTCGACCATCGAGTAAAGGTGTCCCACCAAAGCCTTGGCGGACATTTGGGCAATATTATTTTTCACACATAATTGCCACGACTTAAATAACATGACCCAACAGAGAAATAAATACATTTTCACCAAAAACACTGATTTATTTACTGCTGACTGATCCGTCTTAATTAAACACCCTATATGACGTTTGACAATAGACTTGAAGAGGTTAAGATTTTAGTTATCAGAGAACTATCCCCTGAGGTGTTTATTCCATGAGGTAGCGGTTTTCGGTAAGAAGCTACTTGGAACGTCCTTCTTACCAATGGAATTTGAAACGAATGAGGTCAAACCTGTGTACATGACATGGTGTATCCTAGCTGTAAAGGTCTGAACTGGCGGAACTAAGAAATGTAGCTCTTCTGAATAGAGTAGCAACATTTCGTCTGAATGCGAATATTATAAAGTCAATGTGGCTTTAAGGATTATGCTTTGTGATATTATTGTAGTATTTGAGAGAGAAAATATCATAGTCTTCTCCACTCTCCAATATAAACATTAATACACCCAAGATTTACTAACACCTTAACAATATGGAGGAAATTAACCTAAAAAAGGGGTTAAACAAAGTAGTATACTTATAAAATCACGCTGAACATACAGTACATATATCAATATCCCACAGATAAATTTAGATACATACAAGGATGCTGGCAGTGTTTGGAGAGGGTTAATTAAAAAAATGGTCTCACTTGTAACGTTCCCAACTATGATATAGTTAAGTGCT